AATTTTTTTAAAATATAAAAAAATACACAGTTACACACCATTTCAAAGGCATATAATTATTTAATACTTTTTTAAAAATCTTATTAAACACAAAGTAAATATACAATAAGAATTTTTTCTAACTTATGTTCTTAAAATAAGTTAATTGTGTAATTAATATAATTTTTTATTAAGTTGAATAAAAAAATAAAAAATTAATATCAATCTCAAAATCGATGCATCTCATCCAAGTTTCAGTCGCTACTACACTTTTCTCAATTTGTGGTTCCCTGCAAGAACACTATCTTTTTCTCTGGATATTTTCGCACACTAAATTTCTTGCTTTTTAATCAAATTTGCACTTCTATTCTTAACTCTATCGGGAACAAACGGTCCCATCACCAGATTTATTTTTGTTCTAAACTCTACCAGGTCCAAACGGTACACCCACCAGATTTCCTAAAACCAATCACCAAATAGTCGTGCCAGAAACCAACTGTTTAGCTGTTGACACTTTTAGTTCTAGTCTATGGAAGAAAACAAAGAGATAATGATGTAACGAAATGAGGGCCATGGAATCCCCAACAAATAGAAAGCCTCTCCGGATCTCTTGCAACGGTAGTCATATTTTTCTCAAATCGCTTTCTAGTTCTGCCAGCAGATCGTTTATCTATTTGTCTTCTAGACTTCTAGTTATATCCATAAGTATGGTATCTAGATACATCTATGTATATAATAACGCATATTTATTTTCTTTTTAAATTGGTCAAGTGTTCCTTGTTTACTTAAAAAAAAAAAATGATTGGTACATATTTAATTCATCCAGGTGTATAGGTTATCTCTTTTGTAATAATGCAGGTAGCTCTCATGCTGCAATTATTCTTTCGTTAAGTTGTTTAGAAACTTTAATTAGTCCTAAAGACATCACAATTTTTAATTTGATATTCAACCAATTGTGGAGTGATGGAATTTGAAACTAGGATCTCTCGAGCCTTACCCGTCCTTTAACATCTGAAATAAAGCCTCATTGGTGTTTGAATCTTGAAAATATCTTTACAATAGATACAAATAATAATGGAGATACCATGTTTAGACCGACCTTCCAGGCTTTTAAGTAAATTTAGAGCCTATTTGGAGCAGCTCCTAAGAGTTTTAGCTTTTTTATATTATTCATGTTTTATAAGTTAAAATTTTTCTCTTAAAAACTTACATTTTAAAATTTTTTTTAATCTTAAAAAGATTTTAAATAGTAAAAGTTCAAAAGTTTTAAATTCAAATTTTTCATAAACTTCATTTTTACGCACTTTTTACTCACTTTTCACTCATTTTTTCTTATATTTAAAAACAACTTTTAAATTTTTCATACAATAAAAATTTAAATTTAAGAAAAATTTAAATTTATTATTCATAACAGTACTCAAAAAACAGAAACTCTCACAAATCAAAACCAAACATGCTCTTACACACACATGTGCAGAAGAGCTGGAATATAAAACTTTCCCCTGTTTTCTCATTCCTCAATTCTTATTCAGAAGCCCTATATGATGATACCTAAAGTGGCAGAAGCCACGGTGGAAGCTACATCTATGTCCTGTTGGGTGTGGGGAGAAAAAGGTGTTTCGCCTCATATATCCCTTTGTCCCTGTCCTGATTGCTCTGCACTCTGATCATCCTTTCCTGCCTCAGCTCTACGAAAACGGACATATAGTAGAGAGATAGCAACAATTCCAACAGGGATCCTTTCATATCGAGTTGCTAATATTGGAGCTTTAATAGAAAGGAAACTGCACAGCCCGCTTACTAGACCAAGATCAATCTCAGGTCCTAGTAAGTCCCAGATTGAGAGTGTCATGAGAAAAAACAGTCCAGCAAATACAAAATTCAGCATGGATTCAGCATCAAGGAACACTTTTGATAGGCCAAATGCAATGAACCATCCGGAAATAGCATTCATTGTTTCAATTATAGGTCCTTTTAACCTCAGACACCTCCATTCTCTAATCTCTGGAATATATTCGTTGAAATTAATCACCTGAAGCAACAAACCAGGCGCGATACCAGCAAAGACCAATCTAAGATTCTCTTCCTGCGTACGGTTGTTTTGCCACATAACCAGTCCTATTACCATAAAGGACGAGAAGAGAATGGCAATAATAAGTTTGTGCACGTTAGGTTGAATCGGTTTTGTTATCAAGTTGTCCAATTTTACCCAAAAATTCTTGATCAACTCAATGAGTGAAAATGCCATTTTCCTGCAGGGTAACAAACATATGATAAGGCAATATAATATACGAACGCATCCTCTACAAACCTAAATATCCATCCTATCCTATCCCTTAATAGACACACATCCATGCCCTGCCCTCCCCTGTCCTTTGTACTTTCCCTAACAGATTCATCACAACAGTACTTACACACAAGTTAAACATAGCGAGATATAAGTGCATTGCATTTGATCATAAATTAAACCTCCGCTAGTGTTAGAGCTTGATCGAACACAACGAAAATTAAAATTTCGGTGTAAATCGATTCTTGCTCCTACGTAGACATATTTACTAGATGAGCCACCGGAAGCTTAATTACAGGAAAAGAGGAATTCCTTCATAAAATCACTTTCAGAAAAATCATATACTAGTTTTTCAAGAGCCTTTAAAGAAAGAGGATGGAAACTCTCAATTGAACCATACATTAATGGAAGCCATATGTAAGCAGTCGACAACACAGAAAAGGTTCAGTAAGCACCTAAAAACTCAATAAAACTATAGAAACAGTTGTACGAACCTAGAGTGAAGAACCTTTCAAAGATGGAAGCTAGCCGGATATGATGACAGTGCCGGAGGTGACGACATAAGACGGCCGAATTCGGGGACAGAGACGGACTGACAGTTGTGATTTGGTGATCCCGTAATCACTCCGCCACTGTCAGAACTGCGCAGTCTTCGTGGTCGCTTGAGAATGGCTTCCATTGCGTCCCGTGCGTAATATCATACAAGGTAGGTGATGCACTTGCCACTGTAGAATATGATTCCTATGCGACGTATTTGTCAACTCCCCGAGTTCAATGTTTAAAGGCAAAGTCAAGTTGATTTTGAGGCCAATGAGGGGAGTGTATTTAATTTGCCTTTCTAGAAACCGTGTCATGCAACTCCGAACGGCCCCATCCCTAATCTTAGGGGGAAGTGCTCCATTCCCATCTAGGCCTTTATAGGATGCCACCAGGGAAACGGAGCTACCATAGCTTTTGTGAAAAATGTTTAATTTATTACATTAATTTT